CGCCCCGCCCCGCCCCGCCCCGCCACCTCGCCACGCCCCGCGTCGAACCATGGCACAGCCAAGCGTGGCGGCGTGGCCGATGTCCACGTTATGTAACGCCCAGGCCGGGGAGGGCGCACTTGGCTGGAGCGCGGACTACACTAGTGTTCGTTGTGCCCGCAGGTGGTGACGCTGTCCGTGTACACGTACTTCATGGCGCAGCTGATGGGCCGCCAGTTCGTCGAGACGAGGCACCCCGACGGCACCGTGACGGGAGACCCTGACATCTTCTTCCCCCTCTTCACCTCGCTGCAGGTAGGTCGCTGCAGGTCGAGCCCCCGGGCGCGCCTGGCGGGGGCGGGGCTCGGGAGAGGGGAGCCTTCGCTCTCGTCGCGGTACCCTCCCCGAGAAGCTTGCTGCGCCGCGGCCACGGACCGCGAGGCTCAAGAGAGTAAAGCAGAAGCACAGGAGGGCGCCCCTCCTCCAAGATGGGGAGGAGGCCACCCGCCGCGAGTGGACTGGACAGGACAGTTTGCGCCCCGTTTCCCATGTGGGACGAGCTTCGAAACATTGTCGAGAGGACCAGGACAGACCAGGACGCTAAGCGTCGCTCTTGCACTTGCTCGTACACGCCCTGGCTCAGGCCTTGGCAGGCTGTGGCTACGACGCTGACCACGCGGTCGTGTCCGCCCCAAGGCGAGGTCGCCCCGGCCGGGGCCCGGGACGCGGGCCAACTTAGGCGGGTCCTTCCAGCCGAAGCCCGAGAACGGCGAGCGGCCGTCACTGCGCTCACGGCTGGCGAATGACCCTTGTCTTGTTTTGACGCAGTTCTGCTTCTACATCGGCTGGCTGAAGGTGGCCGAGGTTCTCATCAACCCGTTCGGCGAGGACGACGACGACATTGAGCTCAACTGGCTCATAGACAGGCACATCAAGGTATGTGTGGTGGTCCAACGACACTCATCCGCTCTGACCGAAAGAACCCGAGTGAGACACCCTTCTCTTCAGCAAAATAACCGCGACAGCCACATTAATGCTTTTGCTTTTTGAAACCTTCCACACGATCAGCTGGTTTTTTGTATCACAATCCTAACTCTAATTTTTATCTGACTCACCACGCTTACTCGCTTGGTGGCGGTGCGCTGCACGTGCACTGACTGCACTGCACTGCCCGGTGATGGTGACCTGTGCGCATGCCCTAGAACATCGAGGTGGCCCGCCGCGGGCTGGGAGAGACGCCCGGCCCTGAGGAAGATGACGAGGACGTGAACCCGCTGTGCCGGGGCGGGCGCGGGCAGGGCCTGGCGGGCCTGCTGGGGGCGGGCGCGCTGGCGGCGGTGCGCGCGCTGCTCGCCTTCCTGCACGGCCTGCTCTCGGCCCTGCTGCCGTGCCTCGTGCCTCCCCTCGGCCCGGACAGCCCCCCGCCGCGCCAGCCCCGCCCCGACCCTCCTCAACAGCCTGCACCCGGGGAGAGGCCCTGGCTGCGCACCGTGAGTAGCCGCCGCGCCGCGCCACGCCTCGTGTAGGACCGCGAGGACGCAGCCTCGCCACGCCACGCTACGGGGCGTCGGGCTCGGGAGAGAACCCGCCCTGCGACCCTGCGCGCCTAGCCCCCTGGCCGCCATCAAAATTAGACTATGTGTATCTCATTTATTTTTAGTAAGGAAACGTTTACTTCGTATGTTATGCTGTGGGTTGCGGGTTCATTCTCACCCAGACGACACCCCGAAGCGAGGGCGGTGGCGTTGAGGTAACTATCCACTACAGTCTCAGTGAAAATGGAAGGTCATTCAGCTCCTTAAGTAAAGTCGAAAAACACTGTCATCTTCATTTCAATTTTCGAGAATTCTGATTTGTTGCGGGTATGCGGCAGGGCGGCAGTTCAGGTCGGGCATGGTTCGGGCGGCTGGAGCGGCGGCTCTCCGGTGACCAGCAGGGGCTGATAATGGTTGATTTGTTTTGTCCCCTTTTATTTGTCTGTGACGAACCTTCCTCCTCATTAGGCTGAACACGGCATCGCAGTCTCTCGTGCTGCGCCGCCCGGCCCGGCTGGCTGGGCCCGCGCCGCCTGCTGCTGCCGCGCTGCCGCCCGGCCCGAGCGATCCGATCGAAAGGCGATTGCCTCAAGTGACGTTGTGCTGTGTGCATGCCTGCTTCCCATGACGCTGACGCCGCTTTTGCGCAACACGCTCGCCTCTGCTGGAGCGTAGCTGAGCGTGGCTGAGCGTGGCTGAGCGTGGCTCGCTACCTAATTACCCAACGGCCGTGGTGATGGGTAAACATAAAGTGATTCCGAGGCGCGCGCCAGCCGGCGTGTTCGGATCGAGGTGCTCAAATAGAGTGCGACTCAATCGATTTGCTTGCGCCGAGCACACATTTGCCGAGGGCAGATGATTACAGCTGACACAGCAAACTATGTTTGATCAGCAATCGCGGGCACGTCTCTCTGCTAGAGGAAACTTGTGGTAACTCGTGTGGGGCCTTGCAGGCGGCCTACATGATCGTGGACGAGATGCACGAGGAGCACCCCGAGCTGCTCAAGGACCAATACTGGGACGAGGTGGTGCCCAAGGACCTGCCCTACACCGTGGCGTCCGAGTGCTACCGGCGGGCGGAGCCCAAGGGCAGCGCCGAGGACTACAAGGTCAAGGACTCGGACGCGCTCTACGCCAACCTCATGCCCCAGCGCAACAAGCCCGGCCCCGAGGACGTCTACGCCGACTACGTGAGTGACCCGCACAAGGCGCCGCGCAGGCCGCCGGGGACCCGATTGCGACTTTGGTTCTGATTTTAATTGAGCAAAGATTACCCGGTGGAATGCGGTCCGTGTTCCAGGAGAGCGTGGACACCCCGCTCGTGGAGAGGCGCAAGAACTGGTTCCAGCGGCAGCTGCAGCGCATGGGGTCGGTGCGCTCCTCCAGCACCACGTACTCCTCGGCCGGGATGGCGTTCAACTCGCGGCCCCGCCACAACTCGGTGTACTCGCAGGTGAGCGGCCTCCCCGCCCTGGCACCCCCGCGGCCTCGGCCCGCACCCCCGCGAGCCGCCACGGGTCCGTCGAACGTAATGAAGATCTCGTTTGTGCAGGGGGAGAACGGCGGCCTCCCGGGCCCGGTGCCCGGCCCCGTGTCGGCGCAGATCTTGAGCCAGACCACGCTGCCCATCCACCAGCAGCAGCAGCAGCAGCCGCCGCCCGAGCGGCAGCCCAAGATGTCCATCTACGACCGATTCGTCAACAGGCGCTCCAGCCGGGGACAGAACAAGAGATCCAGTGAGTAACCTCTCCCGATCGAGTACTTACCCTAGTAACATGAAGTTGTCCACCGACTGTCGACACGGTGTCGAACATGGAATCTGATAGGTTGTAAATTGATGCTCTCTAAACAGTTCAACATCAGTGTAGTTGATATTCAAAACTAGAGATCATACCGATTCACGTAAAATTTCAGTTTCTGGAACCAACAAAAAATGTAGACTTCCAAAATATGCGGTAAACAATATCAAAGTATCGCAGCGAACGCGACGCAAGAAAACCATGAATATTTTCTGGTATTATTGCTAGAACATAAGTTTTTCAATCCTCGAACAATAATAATGTCACGAGCCGAATGATGATAAACTTATTATCGATTTCCAATAGAAATAGTGTCCTGTCGGATGGTGTCACTTCCGATATCCGTACGATATTATTTGTCCCTTTTTCGATACTTTCTCGACAATCTCTCGACAGTTTGACAGTTTGATGTGACTAGGATATGTTCTGTTTGCTGTTGGGTTCTATGCTAAGACTGGGTGGTTTTGCAGGTGTGCAGAAGAACCGGCCGCGCATCCCCACGCCAGACGTGACCATCATCAGGAACAATGATGCCAACGGCTCTGCACCCTCCACCCCCGGCACGCCCAACATGCTGACGCCGCAGCCCTACCCCACCGACGTGCCCGTTGTGCAGGTAAGCACTGCTACCGCCCAGTCACTTCGGGAGGTAAATAACACAGCTCTGTTTCAAGAAAAATGCATTTGCTACACAGAAATTACATATTTTGACCACGAAGCTGAGAGTACACTTGAAAAGGAGTCAAATAAAAAATTAAGAGGTAGAAGACTTTTTCCATGGAGCTAGTGTTGTGGGCCACCAGCACCGCCAGCAACAGTGCTCTGCGGGTTAGCCGACCTTTGTTGGGGCTCTCTCCTCTTAGCTGCTCCCTCCCTAAGCTGCTGACCCCCCTGCGGATGTCGGGGTAGGCCACCACCTCCAGCAGCAGTGCTCTGCGGGTTAGCCGACCTTTGTTGGGGCTCTCTCCTCTTAGCTGCTCCCTCCCTAAGCTGCTGACCCCCCTGCGGATGTCGGGGTAGGCCACCACCTCCAGCAGCAGTGCTCTGCGGGTTGGCCCACCCTGTGGGAGCTCTCTCCTCTTACAAGGGAAGGTTTTTAGGTGTTACCAATTTCGCTGGGCGCGATACATATTGCAGGGGACATATGTAGATTATTATTGGCACCGGTTTTAGCTGCCCATACTATGTTTTTCGTTTGTTTTGGACAATTTTTAGTAGGAAAACATCATAAAACCAGAAAAAATGTGATCTTCAAATGTCTATATCTCCGGAACCATTTGAGCTACGCCATCCAGATTTTGCACAGAGGTAGTCCGCATGGATACCTTAATTGTCTAAAAATATGGGAAGAGTCGAAAAAAATTGTTGAAATGGTCCGAAATCCAAGTCGAAATCCAAGTAAGGAAGGTGCACATAGTTTGTGACATTTTCTTCGATGTTTTTCGAAAAAAATTATACTTCACGATAATTTAGTTACAAATTCGGCCTACCTCTGTGCAAAATCTGGGGGGTGTAGCTCAAACGGTTCCGGAGATATAGGCATTTGAAGATCACATTTTTTCTGGTTTTATGATGTTTTTCTACTAAAAATTGTCCAAAACAAACGAAAAACATAGTATGGGCAGCTAAAACCGGTGCCAATCTTAATCTACCTATGTCGAAATTGGTGTGTAACACCTAAAAACCTTCCCTTGTTAGCTGCTCCCTCCCTAAGCTGCTGACCCCTGCGAATGTCGGGGTAGGCCACCACCTCCGGCAGCAGTGCTCTGCGGGTTGGCCCACCCTGTGGGAGCTCTCTCCTCTTAGCTGCTCCCTCCCTAGGCTTCTGATCCCTGCGAACGGCGGGTTGGTCCACCTTGTGGGGGTTCTCTCCTCTTAGGTACTCCCTCCCTAAGCTGCTGCTGACCCTATTGCGAAGGCGGGGTAGGCGCTATGCACCTGCACCGTCGTACGCCACGCGCCCCTGAAGGGGAGGACCATATTGTGCACGAGAACCTCGCACCTTTGCACGTGACAGTGGGCAACCGCTGGGCCTGACCTCAAGATGTTTTTCGGTGTTCCGCAGGTGCTGCTGACGCCCATCCAGGAGGCCGAGGGCGGCGTGGTGGCCGTGGGGGGCATGGGTATGGGGTCGCCGGGCCACCACCAGCACCACCAGCTGACCATGGCGGGCGTGGGCGCCAAGGCACTGGCACAGGCCGTGCTCTCCCCCGGGATGGGGCCCATCGGCCCCGTCACGCTGGCTGCCACCCCCGTCACCTTCTCGCAACCCATTCTGTTCACCGCGTCTCCTGGTCCACACCGCCCGGTCCGGTCGTCGGCGCCCCCGAGGAGCGCCGTCACCCTGACCGAGGTTAGCAGCCACTCTGGCTCGGCGTCCGGCTCGGAGGAGGAGGGCAGTTCGGCCTCGCCGCGACCCACTACCCCGGCCACGCCTACGAGCACGCCGTCGGTGACACCAACACCTGCGGCAGCCGCTGCCTTCGCTGCTGCCGTCACGCCGGCGGTCTCCAACGCCACGTCCACGCCCGCGACCTCGCCGCCGAGGAGCACCGCCAACAGCCTGGCACCCAGCGCGGCGCCCAGCGCGGCCAGCACGGTGGAGAGGAAGAAGGGCACCGCGGAGAGGAGGACCGGCGCGCCCAACAAGCGCGAGGTGTACGTCTGACACGCGCGCCGGCACCCTCGTCCAGCCCATGCATCCATGCACACAACTTGCAGATGTTTCCCTCTTTGATGGCGTCTAATTTGACCCGAGACCGAGGAAGGAGAATTTTTGTTTTTTGTAGTGCAACGTATCTGAACCGCTGGATACAGTAGGAAACGTGATCTTCTAAAGATAAATTATATTGATATGACGATTATTTTTGTAATATGAATTCCAGTCAGTACGACTTGTGATCATTAATGTAATTAATGTTTTTAGAGTAACAAATTTCTCATGTGTACCTCTGATTTCTTATCTGTTCCATTGGCTAAGTTTTTGTGTGTTTTTAATTTTTTTTGTGCCAGAGATTTTTTTGGAGATCGATTGTGAGATAATTGCTGATAATTGAGATTTTAACCATGTGATTTTCTTTTTTTTTCCAAAAAGGAAGAAATTGCCAAATTTCACTGAGCACAATAGTTTTCAGAGAATGTGACACACTTAGTATGTATTTTGCTGTTTAGAACTAATTAGAAACCTATGTGATCCTTTGTATTAAAGTAAAGCTAGTTAGTATTTGTCAAATGATTTTTTGTATGATCTAACTATTTGTACAAAGTAAGGAGTTTTGTGCCAACAACTTTATCAAGCAGAGCTTGTACAAGGTATTTTGTAATCCTCTAGAAAAGTAAGGATACCAGTAGTTTATAAATTTACAATTCAATTCCAATATCTTTGAGGAGTGTGATAGAATAAAATAGATTAAGTCTTAGTCGCAATTTTTCATGTGCCGTAATGCATTATGCTAATTTATACCATTCGTATTATATTAAGTTCTAGTGGTTCTATTTGCTTGTGATCAGTGTAAGGTAGAGAGGTTCGCCATTATCTATGAAAGTCAAGGGGTGTGTTACTTTGTATACGCTTTTAAGAACTGATTTGCCAGATTGCAATGTACATGTTGTATCAATTACCAAGCACGTGTTGCCTTAGTGTTTTGACAATTAGTTATACAGATGCATCATTTGTGAGATTTTTGTTGAATGAGACCGTTTTTCAGTCATTAAAGCTGAAAAAGACTTCCCAATCGAAAAACCATGTATGAGTATACACAAGCACAAACTCTCTACACAAAATAGTAAACAGAACCCTGCGAAAACGCATCAGAAAATACAAGAAATCGAACTAAACTTCCCTGCACGTGGCAGGAGGTGCACGATAAGTTGCCGCCACTCTAGGCGTCTGTGTTCAAGGTACGTGAACTGCGGTGTAAATTGGCCTTTACGTCAGATTTCTCTTCCACCACACCCTCTCCTCGCCATAGTATGCCATTGCATTAAATCAACACTTCTGAAAAATTCGCAAGCGCACCGTCGTCCAGCCTTTAGAATCGAGGTGTACGTTGGGCTGCATACCTACCGGGTACTTCTCACACATCGCTAAGCGCTGTTCGTAAGCTATCAGCGAAGAACCTTCTTGACTGTTGCATTTAAAATCAATTCAAGGAATACACAAATACTAGAACATTATTTGTGGAATATGACTTTGTAAAATTCTGTATCGGTACATTTTTGAGTATCCGTAGTGTGTGCACGAGCAGTAATGGCGTGCCATGTATTAGAGGGGGCTTTCCGACAAACTCGTGTCATTTTTGTAGAATTTTATAATTCAGTAAGTTGTTTACTGAACCATGCTAAACTTAAATACGGGCAACCTATACGAATTTTCAATGTTTATCCCTTTAAATTAAAAACTGATAATGGTTTGGGAGGGAGGAAAATACCTTTTCGGATCCATGAAATGTTTTCGAATAATTTAATACAAGATTAATTTTCTTCCTCCCGTGTCGGAATTTGAAAACTGCTCTGTATAGCCGCGCGACCCTGTGCGGCGCGGTCGGTCTGCGCGGCGTCCGCGTGCGTCCCAGGGTCCTGACGTCAAACTCGGATGCCCCGGGCTGGGCTCCGCCAGGAGGCTCGGCACTGCAACACTTGACACTGAGGTTCGCTGCAAAAAGGAGACTGCACGACGCTCGTCTCGGTCGCTCTTCCTCGAGAGTCCGCGTCGGAGCGACAAGGAAGGACCGCTGCAGCCTCGCAGAGGGCGTGGTGGCGCTAATGAGCGCCCGAGAGCGGCGGTCGGGGAGCGCTCCGCCGAGGGGCGGCGCCGCGCCGAGCGGCCGGCTGTTGTTGGATCGAATCCGATCAAAGCTTCAGTAGCAAAGGAAAGCCGGCGATTCAGTTTTATTTGCGCAGAGTGGCGATACAGCGATTCGGGTTCCTTTCCCCGCGTACGTGACCGCCGCGGTAAACAAGGTGCCGGCAGGCGGGGGCCGGGGGGCCGCCCGCCCCGAGGTTCATTCCTCTGCCCCTCGCCGTGCCCATCCTCCCCGGCGGCGTCCTGGGACGTCTCAGTTGTTCCTGGAACGGCCGCTGTGCACTGATTTTGTTTTGTACCTCGTTCAAAGACTGGCGGCCGTGCAGAGCCGGTCCCTCCTGCCTGTCCGGGTAGGGCGGGAGCCGGCGGCACCACCAGCTGGTCGTCCGTCTGGCTCCGCGCCCCGCCCTGCGCCTGCTCCTCCTTCATCACTCTTGTTTAATTGCCACCGCGATGGCCAATGTTTCGGCGGCAACGGCGGTTAAAGTCACTGCAGGCCCACGGCGAGGCGCTCGCCAGGCGCGTTTCGTTCGATGGGCCCTCTTAACGACGCCCGATCTCCGCCGGACGACGCTTCAACGTCGACCGATGTCATCCGATGCCACTGGTGGGTATAGATTGGAGTGACGAGTTCCCGTAGATTTAAAACGGTCTAAACATTTTGCTGAGAGCAATTTAAATTTTGTCATTAGTAAGAACTCGGAATTAGTACCACAG